AAGGTACTCGAGGATCAGTTGAATGAGCAAGTAAATGAACAAGCAGGCAACTCTGGCCCTGAAATTCATACTCAAATATCCATTTGCCACTTCTAGCAGAGAGAGTCATTTAACAATTCAGTTGCTACGGTTTAAGTAAATGAACAAGCAGGCAACTCTGGCCCTGAAATTCATACTCAAATATCCATTTGCCACTTCTAGCAGAGAGAGTCATTTAACAATTCAGTTGCTACGGTTTAATGTGAAAATCTGATTCACACTGTGAGTCAAAAGGAGTACATAAGGATGGCCAACACATAAAACAACATCACAAATTAATCACAGCATTCTTTATCACTGAGCTCAAATATGGTCTCAGAAGGCTTCTCTACTGGCAACTAGCTTTCTGTTCACATGTGTAACCCTAGTCTTCATCTTTAAGATTCTATTCAGTGCTAAGACACCATGACTTTTTGAGTACTAGGTTCATTCAACATTGCTCTTCACCTTCCTTAGACACATCTCTTTTTTTTCCTGCTAAAGCAGAAAAGGGTAAAGAGAAAATCATTAAAAGAAAGTGATCCCCTGACAACAGGTATTAACTTCCTAAAAAATAGTTAATGAGGGGCACCCGGGTGGCTCAGTCAGTTGAGCATTCCACTTCAGCTACTACCATGATCTCACATCTCATGGTTTGTGAGTTGGAGCCCGACATCAGGCTCACTGCTGTCAGTGTAGAGCCCGCTTTGAATCCTCTGTCCCCACCTCTCTCTCTGCCCCTCCCCTGTTCATGCTCTCTCTCTCTAAAATAAATAAAACATTAAAAAAAATAGTCAATGAGGTTAACAATACAATAGAATACAGTATCTGGGGAATTAATATAAAGGCCTCCTACAAATGAGTAAGAAGCATAGCATATAAATATGTAATTCACAAAAGAAGAAGGCAATATACATGAAAAAAATTTCGCCTTCAGTAATAATGAAAGAATGCCTTCTTAACCTATCAAAATGGCAACTTTTTTTTTGTCTACTTTTAATGCCCTGTATTGGTAAAGCTGGGGAAAAATAATACCACTAATTCTGCTCATGATCTTGCTGAATAATGTATATTGATACAGTCTTTCTAGAGGCAATTTAGAAACACTTCAAGAAGTGTGCATATCCTTTGATTTAATAATTTTACATCCAGAAATTAATCCTAATGAAATGACCTGAAATATACACCAGAATGTAAATCACATGGTTGTTTATATTATCAAAAACTGGGGGAAAAAACTTAATGTCAAATGACAGGAACATGAACAAATAAATTATGGTACACATACACTGAAATTCTATGAACCCGTTAAAGCTTCTAGGGAAAAAAAAATCAATGGCATGGAAAAATATCCTTAATACTACCTAATAATAAAACAGTATGGTCCTATTTCATAAAACATGAAGGCAACAGTTGTTGACTTCAGCTACAGAATTTCTTCTTTCCTTTTTCTCTTTGTATTTTCTACAATGAATTTTAAAGTTTTTGTTTTCTTTCTACTCATGTGCAAGGACTGGCCCAAACAGGAATAGGGATATCTCACTTTCTGGTAGTGTAGAGAAATACATATGAATAAAAGAAGATAATGAATAAGCTTATAAATATGAGCATATCAGGCACAAACTCCTTTAGTTTCCTCATTAAAATAGAACGATCAAGTCAATCCACACTGTAATCTTAGCACTCATTTATGAAACAAAAATGTGATACAAAGACAAACTACAGTTTGTATTCAAGAAAAAATGATAATGAACTGGATTTACTTTGCAGGCGTATTTTACCTTAAGCAATCTACACAAAACAAGCTTTGAGTCCATATTAAATCTAATGGAATCCTAATCATCTTCCAAAGATCATCGATTTATTTTCAATTATATAATAATAGCATATCCATGCATCTGGGAAACTATTTAGATGATGGAATTCAAAGACCATTAATCATTAAAAAAAGGTCTGCTCAAAAAATAACCAAAGAATACCAACCCAAAGGCTAGGCATTGACTCAGGGACCAGGTGCAGCACATAATTATACGTTTTTATTGTGAGTGTTTTACAAAGTTAATAAGTAAACAGCTTTAATTACATTCTTACCAGGAATGAATTTCAATATTCAAAATATTATATTGTGAAACTCTCTTCTTTAAAGACTTGTTTAATGGACAATTTATAGTCAACATTATGATTGGTGATCAAAATCTAATTAGATTTCATGAACAAAATATATTTATCATCAAATATTTTCAGGATTATAAAGGTAAAGATGAGAATTTCATGTTATTATTGTTTAAAGACCCCTCAAAAAAACCACACAGAAAACCTCACAATAGCTTGAATGATATATAATCACACCTCACTTTTTAAAAATGATGTTCCTACTGTTTCTTTACCTTTACCTAACAGTAAGTTAAGTCTGGTCTAGAATATGTTTTCCTTAGCTCAGAGCAGAGCTTCTTTTCAGTTACAGTATTTCTCTCAGTGTTCAACATCTTAATAACTAGTATTTTTTATTCTATGGAGGATTGTTTAATGTCTCAGTGCTATTCAAGTTGCAACTGTAGTATGTAAAACATTTCTTTGTAAGTGAAATTTAAGCAAAATCAAGGCCTGTTGCTCATCAAACATAATTTAAGAATATATTACTTAACAATACTGAAAAGTTTAACATGAATGGAATTACAAATTCTTTTGCTTACGCTTTCCGACACAGTAGAATTTTCTAGTGGAGGATGCAGATAATTTCTAGCAGAAGTCAAGTCTGATGAACCTAACAACACAAAGGAATCAATTTGAGTGATTTTAAAATCAGAACCTTTTCCTTTAAAAACTGTACAAGTATGATTCAAGAACTGTCAACTCCATATTAATGCAAAATCTATACTGGAAGGCACTTTTCATGCAAAAAAACAAGATTTAATTAACATATATTCTGATGAAAGTTTTACAGTTGATATTTAAGAAAATAAGGGTCAGTACTGACAACCAAGTGGGATAAATATGTTTTAAAATATATCGTTACACTGTTGGATTTGGACAAAACATGGGTAGAATCATTAGCCAGGAATAAAATATGTACATGATATAAAAGCAAGCCTTTATTATGTCATACCCTCCCTCCCAAAAAAGCAGCATTATATAAGCATTTTTTTTGTTTTTGCACATATATTTATTAATTTGATCTTTACAATTACCAGTGAAATGGGCAAAGCATAGGTCTTCTTCATTTTCACTGAACCCCAGACAGGTTAAGTGAATTGAAATACGGAAGCCATCAAGAGGCAGAAGTTAACACTTTTCTACATGCCAAATTGAATAACACTATCCAAACAGAAGGTAGAGCATTTGGTAAAAACCCCTATTGATGAACAATAAGCACATCATACTAGTTCAGTGTGTCCACCACAGATGTGAACAAGAACAATGTGCAAAAACCACACAAAGAAAAAACACAATGGGAAATGTTTCATTCATTCCACCTATTCGATATTATATAGATTAGACTGGCTGTGCTAGCCATTTCCCCATGGAAAGGGGTCAGCTTTCAAACATCTATACAAACTAGATGTATCTTATGTTTGAGAATTTAAATATATAAAATCCTCTAAATTCTGAAAGGCAAAAAACGAAATGAAAATAAAGACTAAAGATTTACAAAAGTGAGAACTATTCGGAGTCACATACCACATGACGTTCCATTCAAACTAGCCTCGGTTCTAACAGGAAGACGTTTATTTGCAGACAACGCTGGAGGAACACAGGGCAACTCATCTTTGAGCAAAACCGAATAATCTCCCTGATTTGGAGAAACTACCTCACGAAGTCTCCTCGCTGGTATTTTAACCCTTTTTTTCTTTTCCAGGCTAAGCTCAGATCCTTTCATATTTTGCAACAAAACTAGTCCCACGGTTCTGAATAGAATTTCTTCTAGGTCCGTAAAACTTCAAAACAAAATTTTCACCGCTTTGGGGACTTTGGGAAGAAGGAACGAAGGAGGAGTATGATAAACAAAATATGAATTTCAAGTGATTTTAAAACATGCAGTCATCAACCTGTAAATAAATCAATGTCTAAGTAGACTATCCAAAAAGCTAGAAATTTCAATTTGGTTATTAGAGACTACTAGAACACCATATTTACCCATTAATCCCACTCAGTCCATTAATGCATACGCCAGGGAATCTGAGAGTAGGGATGATAAGAGAAAGGCCGCGTGAGCAACAATAACCATAACAACACTCCCCAAACCTAGAACTGGCAGTGCAAAACCAAACAGTGTTAAGATTCGTTGGTGGGACTCAAGCAAAACTGAAATGCTTTAAAATCACCCATATAAGAAGCTTAATAGCTGTCTTCCGCCAGAGTTTTACACACTCCTCCAGATGCAACCATCGGACACCTAAATTCACCCCTCCCAGTCAGCCGAACGCTCGGCGACCGCGCAGTCACAGGTATAATCTGACAACAGCTTCAGCTGCCCGCGAGTCGACGTCCACTTCCCTTTAAGCCGGCCCCCTGAGACTCAACACGCATGCGCGCCAAGATAATCATCCAAAACAACCAACGAAAAAGCCGAAAGCTCTCCGGTGTTCGTCCATCCCTCTCCGGGTGGAAACAAACTCCCAGTGTAAAAGGCTTAAGAACGTGTGAATTTGGTCGTTTTTGTTTTGTTTCTTGTTTCTTTTAAGACACTACACTGCCCCCACGAGATTTAAACGTTGCCTAAAACTCGAAATTCCCATCGAAGGCCCGCACAGATCCCGACCTAGTTGGAAATACCACTCCTGTTGCTTAGGGACTGTTTACAGTGTAGCTCCTGGAGACCGTTAGGGACGCGGGATTAAGTAAGTAAATTTTACAAAAACTTTCGACTGATTCGGGTTATTGTTGACCTGGAAGTCAGGAAAAGAGAGCACTGACAAAGCATACAACTACAAAACTTAATCACCAAAGGATTTTAGAATTCACTGGGGATAGCGGCTTTCCCTCTAGAGTGCCTGCGTTATAACGAATCCGCGTCGAAAAGTCTAAGGGCTATTTTACATCGCCTCTCCCACGTGTTCTCTTCCATCCAGCGGCTGCGGCGCCCGCCCTGATCCAGACCCTCCGCCCCTAGACTGGACTGGCAACGCAGCCCCCCAGCCTCGCACTGGTGTCGGATGCGAGAGCCTGTGCTTAAGTATGGTCTCTTTTCTCTGCCCTTAGAATCCCGGGTTCCCAGGCGGGGGGCGGGAGACTACCCTCCGGAAAGGTGGAAGGGGTCTCTGGAGGAGGCCTCCGCGTGTACTTGGGACTGTGGGGAGGAGGGGGACGGGTTGCGGAGACTGCGTCCCCAGAGCAGGTTTGGGACCTTCCCGGGGACCTTCTCGTGCTACCGGGGTGAGGGTCGGAATTTGAGGCCCTGAGCCTCCTCCAGCCCGGGTTTGGGGAGTCAGTGTCTTGTTTTGGAACAGTGAGTTAGATTGTAAAGCATCCACGCAGTGACCTTGAGCTGACAGGCAAGAGAGCCTCTTTTTAACTGAAAAATCTTCTCTACAGACAGAATACCATGGACAAACACCCCTTATCTGATTTGCTAATTTTTGAGAACGCACTATTTAGACGTTTCCTTTTACGCATTACTAAAGGTTTTTAAAGCGATTAATCAAAGCAAGAAGTGTAATCTGTAAAAGCTAAATAGCAAAGTTTCTTTATTTTTACATCTCCGCTGTCTACTTTCATAGAAAAATCCCTAGGATTAAAGGGGACCTTAAGGGCTCAGCTTTGGAGAACCTTTTAATTATTCTTAATAAGTTTCTGTAATTATTTATATCAGTTACATTTCTCTCTTCATAAATGGGCTCTAAGGTACCTGTTTGTCCACAATTTGTTTTAATGTAGGTGAATTAAAAGATTGACAGTGTCAGAGACTTTGAAGATGACTTAATTCCCTTATTTTCTAGGTGAAGCTTAAATATTAAAAAGTGACCTTTCCCCTGCAGTCTACAAGGTGTGACCATAGGCATAGAAACTTATTAAAATGACTTGGATAAATGATTTGATTTGGATCTTACAAACCCTTTTGTATCAGACCTGAAACCCAAGTAGTCTTGCCCCCATCTACTCTAACTCATGGGCTTATGTTTCAGGCCTGGAAGCCATGCTTTAAACCCAAAAGCAATAATCTTTCAAAAGTAATTTTTGCTCTGCTTAATAATAAGTTGAGTTAGGGTTGCCAGTTAATCGGACATAACTTCCTAAACCTGCTCAGATGTGGCAGAGTCCTATTTTATACTCATCAGACAAGTTAGTTCACTTCAGTTTAGACATCTGACCTATCAAAGACACCGATAGCCCTGAAACAAAAAACATGGCTCACAAGATTGTTTTCTTTCATTTCTTTTGTTTTGTTAACATCTTTACTTGCTTCTGGTTTCCCACTCTCCTAGCTCCTTACATACCTATGTAAGTAGATACACCTTTTTGCTGGTTTGTTTGTAAGTAAGTTTCAGACATGATGACCTTTAACCCTAATTTCTTCACCATATATCTCCTTAAGAACAGTCTATTACAGGGGTGCCTGGGTGGCTCAGTGGGTTAAGCCTCTGACTTCCAACTTCCCCTCACGTCCTGATCTCGCAGTTTGTGGGTTCAAGTACCCCCTTGGGCTCTCTGGGCTCTGCTGTCAGCACACGGCCGGCTGGCTTTGGATCCCCTGTCTCCCTCTCTCTCTGCCCCTCCCCCAGTTACAGTCTGTCTGTGTGTCTCTCTCTGTCTCAAAAATAAGAAAAAAAGAACAATCTGTTACATAGCCACAATAAGATTATCACACCTAATAAGGTAACATATTCAGATTTCTCCAATTATCCCAAAAATGTCTTTATTTTTAACTCAAATATTTTTTTTGATTCAAGGTCCGAAGTTCACACATTGCTTAGTTGTCATGACTCTTTAGTCACTTAATCTACAGCGGCCTTCTATTACTTTTCTTTATGGCTTTAACTTTTTGAAAAGACTAGTCTAGGTGTCTTACAAATTGTCCCACATTGTGGATTTTCCTAATTACTCCCTCATGATCAGAATCAGATCAAACATTTTTGGCAAGAATACCACACAGTTGATATGTGTCTTTACTGGTTATGGTGGTGACTGCCAGATCTTTGCCATATAAAGGAACCATTTTTCTTTGATGAAAAGTAATTTGTGGAGATACTTTGAGACCATGGATATATCCTATTCTCCAACTGTCACCCAGTAGTTTTATCATCCATTCTTGATCCTCACTTGAATTACAAGCTTACCAATTACCAGTACCAGTCATGCAGAGACCAGGGTCAGGTATTGTGACAATGGCCGAGGACAAGGACATCAGTAGAATAACTTACTGCAAACTAAGTTTGAACAGAAGTAGAAATTTGGCTCCAGAACTGATACAAATCTGCATAGGGTTCCAAAAAAGAAATTGCATCTCCCCTGTTAAATCCTGGTTAGTTGGGGGGCTTTTTTGTTTGTTTTTTTAATATTCAAAAATTTCTGGGAATTGTTTGTCTTGTGTTTACCTAAACATACTACCTGGGAAGATAAGGATCTTAAGTATTTTTAATATATCTCATAATACATCTGCCAAGGAATTATAACCTCAGAATAGATTGAGGAAACTAATTTCACTTATTGAAAATAATTTAGCCTTCAGAAGCTTACAATTCATCAAACAGAGCTTGAAGGGGCCTCAGCAGTCATACTGTAATCCCCTCATTTTTCAGGTAAGAAATCAGGCTTCATTGGAGACATTCAAGCAAAGGTTGGACAACTAATTTTCCAGAACAAAAAGGAAACTCATGCATCAGAAAAGGTTTGAATTGATGACTGATAAAATCTCTTTATTCTTAAGTTCCCTGGTTTCATTATATATTTTGACACAAAAATAACAGTATTGTGATCATTCCCAAGACCTAAGCCAGAGATTCTAGAACTCATCCCTTCCTTCTCTCTCTAGGTTTCAGAGATATAACTGTAAGGTAACCTCTGATTGAATATTTGCCTCTACAATAACTAACATTTGCTGTAATAGCTGAAAATTGGGACTAAATCAAAGGGCAACCCCATTATTTCTACCTGTTTTCATCATCAGGTGGTGTGTGTGGCTGTTGGACTTTGTTAATCAGCATGATTTAGGATTAAATAACTGGAAAACAGAATGCTCCAAGACATAGAAGACACCAGACTAGCAAGTAAATGTGAAAATCATTCACTCCGTCATTTCCAATATTTTCTAGGAGCAAATGCCTGTAATTAAGTATATCCGTGACGACAGACAGAGAAGAGCTTTGGAGATTTAGGCAGACTTGAGAAAACCAACTGTTAGCTCTTGAGTTCAGTTGTAGATCTGGGAATTGAGTAGTGGAACTATTTTTCTTTTCCAAATTCTCAAGAAATAGATTACTCATAATATGATAAACTTTATTTAAAGAGGAAATATATACTGTTAATTACTGTATATTAAAAAACAATACCAGGAAAATAATTTTTAAATAAAATTCATAACAAGAACATTTGGAGCATTCCTCATCTATGCATTGGTAAAGACTTCCCAATAACAACCATCATTTGTCACCATGAGTTGTATATATACTAAGGGGCAAGTGGGGTAGAATCAGCACAGTGTTACCAGTCTCTGAAACTTAACATTTAAATATTTCAGACCTGCCACTCTTAACTCTAGTTAAAAAGTGATTATATATGAATTTTAACCTGAAGAAATAAAAGGATAGGAGTAGGAAAAAGAACTGGATTTTGACATCACAATCTGCAAACATGCAAATTTCTAAGGTTTTTATAAGTAAGGAAATCATCTGTTTTTGTTTTCTGTGTGTAGAAACATCAATGTCTTGTACAGTGAGTTTACTGTACAATTCAACAATTCAAAAGGCTCAGTCTTATTGATGTCCTTTTGTCATTTCAGCTAGAGGCCTGTTGGTAAACCAGGCTCCATAATGCATATTTTATTGCTCTTGTATTTTTTAAAGTTCTCGTAAAACAGTGGTTTCATTTAACACCTATTTTGACAAAAGTTATTTTACCAGTTCTTGGATCGTTTCAAGCTGTTTTCTGAGTGAGAAGCCAAAAGAAATTTAGTTCTGGACGTTTGCTAACACTACACTGCACACTGCATCTTGCTCTTTGGCAAGGATTAGACATCTGAGCAACCTTTTTTTTTTTTTATGTTAAACTTTTTATTTTGAGATTATTGTAGATTCACATGCAATTATAGGGGAAAATGCAGAGTTCCCTTGTGCCCTTTACCCACTTTTCCACAATAGTAACATGTTACAAAATATCACATACAATATCACACCCCAGATATTGTTGATACAGTCAAGATACAGAACATTTCCATTACAGAAGTCTCTTCATCTTTTTATAGCAATACTTAATTCCCTCCTACCCCTGTCCCCGCCTTAACCCCTGGCAACCACTAATATATTCTCTATTTCTGTAAGTTTGTCATTTCATGAATGTTATATATGTATATATAACATTGATCCTCACTTGAATTACAAGATTACCAATTACCAGTACCAGTCATGCAGAGACCAGGGATTGGCTTTTTTCACTCAGCATCATTCTTTGGAGATTCCTCCAATTTGTGTGCATCAATAACTCATTCCTTTTTTGAAATCTTGCCAATTGGAACGACATGGATGGACCTAGAGTGAATTTTGCTAACTGAAGTAAGTCAGAGAAAGACAAATACCATACGATTTCACTTATGTGAATTTAAGAAACCAGATAAACATAGGGGAAGGGGGAAAGAAATAGGGAAATCTTAATAGACTCCTAACTATAGAGAACAAACTGAAGGTTGCTGGAGGGGTGTTGGGTGGGAGGATGGGCCAAGTGGGGGTTGGGCATTAAGGAGTACAGCTGTTGTGATGAGCACAGGGTGTTACATGTAAGTGATGAATCACTAAATTCTACTGAAAACAGTATTATAGCCTATATTTACTAGAATTTAAGTCTGAAGAAAAAACTCATTCCTTTTTATTGCTGAGTTATTCCATGGCATTGGTGTACCAATTTAACCGTTCACTTACTGAAGAACATCTGGATGGTTTCCAGTTTTTGACTGTTACAAATAAAGTTTCCATAGCTATTCATGTAAAGGTTTTTGTGTGAATGTAAGTTTTCATTTCTCTGTGATAAATGCCAAAGAATACAATTGCTGGGTCATTTGGAGTTGCATGTTTAATTTTCTAAAATACTGCCAAACTGTTCACTGCAGTGACATTACAATTTTACATTACCACTAAGTGAGTGATCCAGTTTTTCCACGTACTCACCAGTATTTGGTGGTGTCACTATAAATTTTAATAATTTATGTTTTATTAAGTTCCTGATCCATCTTGAGTTAATTTTTATATAACTCACACATAAGTGAGAGACTTCGAGGCTAAATTTTTTCCTATGGATATATAATTGCTCTAGCACCATTTGTTGAAAAGGCTATCCTTCACTTAATTGCTTTTGCACCTTTACTAAAAATTAGTTGGGCATATTTATGTAACCCTAATTCTGGGTTCTCTGTTCTGTTTCACTGAACTATGTCTACCTCTCCACTCATAGCACACTATACTGATTACTGTAACTCTATAATAAGTCTTAGAATCAAGTAGACCTCCTCCAATTTTATTCGTTTTTTTAATTTATTTTACTATTTTAATCCCCTTGGTAATATAAATTTTAAAATAAATTTGTCTATATTTACAGGAAATTTCACTGGGACCTGATAGGAATTACATTAAGCCTGTATATTAATTCTGGGTAAATGGACATCCTTACTATGTTGAATCTTCCAATCCATGAATACAATATGTCCCTCCATTTATTTAGGTCTTTGATTCTTTTTCATCAGCATTTTATATTTTCCAGCATACAAGTGCTATACATGCTTTGTTAGATTTACCCCTAAATTTTTTAAGGTTTTTTTTTTTTTAATGTTTATTTTTTTTAGAGAGAGAAGAGCACATGAGCATGAGCGGGGGAGGGGCAGATGGAGAGGAAGCAGAGGATCCAAAGCAGGTGCTGCACTGACAGCAGTGAGCTGGTTGCAGGGCTTGCAACTCATAAACAGTGAGATCATGACTTGAGCCATAGTCGGACGCTTAACAGACTGAGGCACCCAGGCACCTCACTGCTAAATTTTTCTAGAGTGGCTGTTAACGGTATTATACTTTTAATTGTCGGCATATTCATTGCAAGTATATAGAGATAGTTTTAAGAGTTTCTTTGTAGATCCCTTGGGATTTTCTATGTGCACAATTATCTGCAAAGAGAAACAATTTATTTTCTTCCTTTACCATCTGTATGTTTTATTTCCTTTTCTTGCTTTACTGCAGTGGGTAGAACTTCCAGCAGTATATTAAGAGTACTAAGAGCAGATCTCATGCCTTGCTCACAATCTTAGGGGAGAATATTTAGCCTCTCACTGTTACTTAGAGTTTTTTGTAGATACTCATTATGAAGTTGAAGAAGTTCTCTTCTTATTTTTCAAAGTTTTTTTTAATCATGAATGGGTGTTGAATTTGTCAAATGGTATTTCTGCATCAATTGATATGATCTAATGATTTTTCTCTAAATCCTGAAGCAGCCTTGTATGTCTAGAGTAAACCCACTTATTCAAGGTGAATAATTCTTTCATATATTGCTGAATTACATTTGTTATTATTTTGTCACATACTTTTATGTCTATTTGATGAGGATATTTTACTGTAATTTTACGTACGGTCTTTGGTTCTGATATCAGGATAATACAAGTTCATAAATAAGTTGTTAGATTTTTTTTTTTTTAATTTTTTTTTATTTACATACAAATTAGTTAGCATATAGTGCAACAATGATTTCAGGAGTAGATTCCCCCTTAGTGCCCTTTACCCATTTAGCCATCCCCCCTCCAACTCCTCCAGTAACCCTCAGTTTGTTCTCCCTATTTATGAGTCTCTTCTGTTTTGTTCCCCTCCCTGTTTTTATATTATTTTTGTTTCCCTTCCCTTATGTTCATCCATTTTTATCTCTTAAAGTCCTCATATGAGTGAAGTCATATGATTTTTGTCTTTCTTTGACTAATTTCACTTAGCATAATACCCTCAGTTCCATCCACGTAGTTGCAAATGGCATGATTTCATTCTTTCTGATTGCCGAGTAATACTCCATTGTATATATATACCACATCTTCTTCATCCGTTCATCCATCGATGGACATTTGGGCTCTTTCCATACTTCGGCTGTTGTTGATAGTGCTGCTATAAGCATGGGGGTGCATGTGTCCCTTCAAAACAGCACACCTGTATCCCGTGGATAAATGCCTAGTAGTGCAATTGCTGGGTCGTAGGGTAGTTCTATTTTTAGTTTTTGAGGGACCTCCATGCCGTTTTCCAGAGTGGCTGCACCAGCTTGCATTCCCAAGGTTGTTAGATTTCTGTATATGGAGTTGTTTGTAGTGCTATTACTACCTTTATATGTCTGCATGGCCTATGGTAATATATCCAGTTTCATTCCTTAGAATGATAATGTGATTTTTTATTAGCCTTGCTAGAGGTTTGTTATAATTGTTCAGAGAACCAGCTCGTTGTTTCTTTGATTATTATCTGTTGCACTTGTTTTCATTAATTTCTGCTCTTCATTATTTTGCTTTTCTTTTTCTAGGTGCTTGAAGTGAAAGTTTAGATTATTGATATGAGACCTTTACTATTCTCTAGTGAATGCCTTTAGGTGCCAGTTTTCCTCGTGGCTGATTTAGCTGTGTCCCACAAATTTTGATATGTTTTGTTTTCAGTTTCATTCAGCTCAGTAATTTTTTAAAAATTTCTCTGAGACTTCTCTTTTGACCCATGTATTATTTAGAAGCAGTTTATTTTCCAGGTGCACCTGGTGGCTCAGTCAGTTGAACGTCCGACTCTTGATTTCAGCTCAGGTCGTGATCTCACAATTCGTGAGATAGAGCCCCGCATTCGGCTCTGTGCTGACAGCATGGAGCCTGCTTGGGATTCTCTCCCCGCCCCGCCCTGCTCAAAAATAAATAAACTTTAAAAAAAAGTATTTTTTTCAAATGTTTGGAGATTTTCTTTTTGTTACTAATTTCTAGTTTGATTCTTTTGTGGTCAGAGAACACATTCTGTGTGATTTCAATTCTTTTAAAATTTGTTGAGGCTGCTTTTGTGGTCCAGAAAGTTTTCTGTGGTTTCAGAAATGTGGTCCTGGTCTGTGTTTCATGGCTCTTGATAAAAATATGTATCCTGTGGTGTTGGGTAAAATGTTCTATAAATGTTGACTGATTCCTGTTGGTTGATGATATTGTTTTTCTATATCCTTGTAAATTTTCTGTCCAGTTCTATTAATTGTTGAGAGAGGGATATTGAAGTCCCCAACTAGATCTGTTTCCTTTCAGTTCTATTAGTTTTCACTCTGTACATTGTGCAACTCTCTTGTTTGGTGCAAACTGCTGTGTTTTCTTGGTAGATTAATCCTGAACGTCCCTTTCTGTCTTGTAATTTCCTTTGCTCTGACACCTACTTTGTCTGATATTAACATATGCACTATTTTCTTTTGATCGTTTGCTTGACAGATCTTTTTTCATCCTTTTTATTTTCAATCATTATATTTGAAGTAAGTTTCTGATAGATAACATATAGTCATGTTTTTTAATCCATTCTACCAATCTCTTTTAATTGATTATTGCTTATATTTAATGTAATTGTTTATTAGGGCTTAAAGTTGCTATTTAAATTTTTGTTTTCTGTTTTTCTTGCCTTTCTGTGGATAACTTGAGTATATTTTGGAATTTCATTTTGATTTATCTATAGTATTCTTGAGTGTGTCTCCCTATGTATCTTTTTTAGTGATTGCTCTAGGTACTACATGATATATACATAGCTTATCACAGTCTAATGTGTCAACACCAGTTTCAGTAAAGTGTAGAAACTTTACCTCCTTTTACCTTCACCATTTATAATATACATTTAGAGCCACATTAGACAGTCTTATAACTTTTGCATCAAATGTGAAAAACACAATTTAGGAAACTCAAGAAGAGAAGGAAAGTGTATTGTACTTACTCACATTTGTTATTACTGTTTTTTTCCTTCTTGATGTTCCAAGTCTCCTATTATCATTTCCTTTCTGTTTAGAACTTTAATCCTTCTTTTAGGATAGGTCAGCTGGCAACAAATTTTAGTTTCTTTCATTTGAGAATGTCTTGATTTCCCCTTCAGTCCTGAGGTATATTTTTGCTAGATACAGATTTCTAGATTGACTGATGTCATCCTAATTATTTTCCCCTGCAGGTGAAATGTCACTTTTTCACTTGCTGCTTTCAAAAATTTTTATCTTTAGTTTTTAGAAGTTTGGCTGTGACATCCTGAGGTAGATTTCTTTGCGATTATGCTCTTTGCATTCATTCGCTTCTTGAATCTATCTGTTCAGTTTATTTTGGTTATTTTATTTTTCACCTCTTGAAATTTTCATTGGGTTCTTCTCATGTCTTGTTTGTTTCAAGCATATTTATAATTGCTCATTGATGTGTTTTTTATAATAGTTTTAAAATCTTTGTCAGATAATTCTAAATCTGTCATCTCAGAGTTGGATATATATTAACTGTCTTTTTTCATTCAGTTTGAGATTTTCTTAGTTCTTGGTACGATGAGTGAATTTTTATTGTAACCTGGACATTTTACATATTGTATTATGAGGCTCCAGATCTTGTTTAAACTTTCTCTTCTAGCTGGCTCCTTTTGACACTACTCCATTAGCGGAAGTGGGGGCAGGTACTGCTAGGTGTAGAGTAGAAGTCCAGGCTTCTCACTCTGTCACTTAAGGTGTGTGGGGGCTGGTGTGCTCCTCATGACTGCCAGGGCAACTGTAGGAGTTAGGGCTCTCTAGTAGGCCTCCATTGGTATCACTCTGGCTTAGAGGGACTAGCATGTCTCATTACTGCTCCCACTGTCTCCACTGACACCAGAGGAGAGAATGTGGACTAATTACCATATGACAGTAATCGCTAGCCTTGAATTTCAAAGAGGCCTCCTTTGTTACCACCTGGAGAGGAGGGAGAAGGGTACCTCATTACTGCCAATTGAGGTAGATGTCCCCACTCCTCATATGGTTTCCACTGACACCTGTTGGGGATGAAGGGCCCTCATTAATGCCCAGGAAGGAAAGAAGTCCTTGCTTCCTAATTTCCCTTCTCTGAAGTGTAGGGGTTGGAATGCCTTATTACAGCCTAGGGAGGGTGGAAGTCTAGGCTCCCAGCTTTGGCTTAAGTTGACTGGAGGGGGGGGGGGGGGGGCGGGTTGGGGATGCAGGCCACAATTTTTTTTGTTTGCCTGGAGTATAGCTATTATCATTTAAGTTTTCTGTCTTGGGGCGCCTGGGTGGCGCAGTCGGTTAAGCGTCTGACTTCAGCCAGGTCACGATCTCGCGGTCCGGGAGTTCGAGCCCCGTGTCGGGCTCTGGGCTGATGGCTCAGAGCCTGGAGCCTGTTTCCGATTCTGTGTCTCCCTCTCTCTGCCCCACCCCCGTTCATGCTCTGTCTCTCTCTGTCCCAAAAATAAATAAACGTTGAAAAAAAAAATTAAAAAAAAAAAAAGTTTTCTGTCTTGGGGCGCCTTAAGAATCCAACTTCAGCTTGGTTCATGATGATCTCACAGTTTGTGGGTTCAAGCCCTGCATCAGGCTCTGTGCTGACAGCTCAGAGCCTGGAGCCTGCTTCAGATTCTGTGTGTCCCTTGCTGTCTGCCTCTCCCCCACCATGCTTTCTGTCTCTCAAAAATAAATAAACGTTCAAAAAAAAATTTTTTTTTAAGTTTTCTGTCTTATAGGCTGCCCCTTTCCTGGCCCTTTGGCTAGAGAGGACCAGCTTTGGGGGCATGGAGGGCTTTGTGCCCATTGGCATCTGCTGACTGCTGGCTTCTTCAGCTCTAACTCTTTGCAAAAAAGAGAATTCACCACTATTTTGTTTCTCAGTTCCCAAGGGTCCTGGCCAATACACTTTCTTCTCTCCACCTTTTAGTCTCAGGTTTGTCTTATATTTAATATCCAGGGCTTTTAGTTGTATTTAGTGAGAGGAATTGGGAAAAGCACATCTCTCACTCCATCTTCCCAGAAGCACTAGTCCTAAACTGCATTGTATGACATATTTATAGAATCCTCTGTCTCTTTGGTTAGTGGTTTTTTATAACAGCACAGTAACACCTAAAAAATTGTGACCTGCAGTAACTGTTGGTATTTTTGAGGTAGTTTATGTGGTAAAAACATACACAGTTGACCCTGAAAAACAACACAGGTATGAACTACACAGGTCCACTTTTATGCAGATTTTTTACAGTACTGTACTATAAATGTCTTTTCCTTATGATTTTATTAACATTTTCTTTACTTTATTGTAAGAATACAGTACACACAATACATATGACATACAAAACATGTCTTAAGTGGCTATGCTATCAGTAAGGCTTCCAATCAACAGTAGCCAATCAGTAGTTAAGTTTTGGGAGAGTCAGAAGTTACATGCGGATTTTTGACTGTGTGTCGGGTTGGTGCCCCTAACACACACATTGCTGAAGGGTCAACTGTATGTTGTTTACAAAGTGAAATAAAATAGGAATAAAGAGCATTCTTGTTAACGTTTTCGGTGTTTATGGAACGCTAGTTGCCTCATGTTGGACTAACCTAAAACCTCTACTACGTTATTTGTAAGGGATATAGAGGAGGTTTAATAGCAAAGATGGTCTATATCATGTTACTGCTAAGCCAAAGATTCTCTTAAGTATAGACAATTATACTTTTTATGAATCATTACTTCAAAGAAAACTATAGGCTAGAACATCTGGAGTAGACAGGTGCCTGGTTGGCTCAGTCAGTTAAGCATCCAACTTCGGCTCAGGTCATGATCTCATGGTTTGTGGGTTTGAGCCCCGCACTGGGCTGTGTGCTGACAGCTCAGAGCCTGGAGCCTGCTTTGGATTCTCTGTCTCCTTCTCTCTCTGCCCTCCCCACTCGTGCTCTGTCAGTCTCTGTCTCTCAAAAATAAATGTTAAAAAAATTATTTAAAAAAAAGAAGAGCAGGGCCACTTGGCTGGCTCAGTTGGTTACGTTTCCGACCTCAGCTCAGGTCATGATCCCCTGTTGCTTGAGTTCGATCCCCACGTTGGCCTCTGTGCTGATAGATCAGAGCCTGGAGCCTGTTTCAGATTCTGTGTCTCCCTTGTTCTCTGCTCCTCCCCCACTCACACTCTTTCTCAAAAATAAACAATATAAATATCTTAAAAACCAGATAGAAAAGAATGAGTACTTTCCCTTGCATGTGAAAAAAAATGTCAGTAATAGGAACTTAAGGATAAGGAAAAAAGAGGAGTAAAGAATAAATGCAAAAGAGGAGCAGGTGTATATGTGGTTGGAAATGCTGCAATGGAATTACTACTGATTGTATTAATTAATCAAAATGAAAATTTTTTTCATGATAGTAATGTACACTTTGTCCTGTGCTGAAATTTCCTAGTTTTATCTCCATATAAGCTTCATGAAAATTTCCTGCTTTTCACAGCCACTTTAGATATTGACAAGTCTATAAGAATGATATACACTTTCGGTTTATCATGTTTGCATTCAGTATCAGAAAACTCAAAGCTAAATATAATGCCTAGAAGTTCTGTTAGTTTACAGTATACATGGTTAGTATTTGCTTATTCTTCCCTTTTCATGCTGTTTAATTTCTACTTTTAAAAAGCTTTATTTTATATAAATCTTTCATATGAGATGTTCATCTATTGTAGAACTAGCCAGAATAGAACAAGTAAGTAATGGGATACGTTGTTATATCTGGATTAACTGAGCCTGGGCTCTCCATTTAACAATGTGAAAATCCTAGTAATTCAGAAAGGCTTTCTTGACTTACCTTCACTTCTTTGTTGCCCCCAAGTTAGATCACAAATGTCATAGGTTCAAAAGTTTCTAATAAGTCTCTGTGATTACACTTTTTGAATTACAGAATGTACAACTCCTGTACTTCCATTAAAGTCTTTTAGAAAACTGAGTATCTTTCATTACAGTTGTTGATTTATAAATGGATGGTGCTTAAGAACAATTAATAGAAGCTGTGTATTTATGTAGAGATAACAGAAGGATCGTTGTTATGTTAGATCAGAGTTACATTAGGAACCAGTGGAATAGTTATGTACTTGAAGAAGACATCAGAGATCTCTTGGTTTCCCTTAAAACTACTAGGAATGAGGCTGTGGCAAGTGACTTTGCAAGGTAGCAAAGCAAGCTGTCTTAAAACGAGATTTAGATAAACGGGGCCCACGGCCAGCATTAAAAAAATCTAATTCTAAACTATAGCGTTCCTTGTTGCCATTAATGACCTGGGAGGATGGATATAATTACATACCCCATTAGAAATTTATAAAATAAAGAAAATAATTTCAGGTAAACTTCGTTTCATTTCTTTTAATAACCTGTATTTGTTTTAATACCTAACTCTTCAGTGAGCCAAAAAATATTTGTTCACAGACTAACTTTTCCTTAATTTTTAAATTAGGTGACTAATAAACATATCAAAAGAATATGGCTGCACAAATACCAGAATCTGATCAGATAAAACAGGTAAGGTATTACAATTAATGAAAAAGAATTTTGCAAAAAATTTAAGGCACTTCTGGGTGCAACCATGTCAGTCAGTGATCTCACAAAATAACTTCAAATTTCATTTCCAAAAATGGATTTTAAATCATATGAAACATTTTTTTTTTCAGATAACTTGACAGATAATGCAAAAAAAAAATATTTAACTAGAAAATTTGACTATGTTTTATAGATCATACTCTACAGGTCATACTATACCCACCTGAGTGAAGGAAAGAATTTTTTAGTTCAAGTATAACAGGGTATTTTGCCCAAATACAAAACATCAGTAATTAAAGTTTCAAAACATCTTTGTTTTAAAAAACCAAATATTAAAGAATGCTCTGATTTGTTCGTAGTTTAAAGAATTTCTTGGAACCTACAATAAACTTACAGAAACCTGCTTTTTGGACTGCGTTAAAGACTTCACAACAAGAGAAGTAAAACCTGAAGAGGTATGAAAAGCACTGCCCACTAAAAACTCTGAAAGCTTGTCATAAACAATAGAAATGAGATCCCCCCCCTCACCATTTCGCTTGTTCCTAGTTATTACAGGAATGTGGTTTTATGTTCCATTGCTCAGAGGAACTGAAGCAGTCGAGACCCATGGCCTTGAGTTAAATGATCCCAAATTTAATATGACAGTCCTACCGTACCATGGCAGATTTTGGTTTTTGTAGCTAAGATGCCTGGGGCTTGCTAAATTATTGTTCCATGGCAAAGATTCTTACTAATTAGCTTTCAGTCAAGATGGCCTGGCTAGAGAAACTTGACCCTGAGAATTCAGGTTAATTTTGGAAAAAGCAGAGCTTAAATTTGGTGGCTCATATTGCATAGGTGGACTCTGAAAACGTAATCCTCTCAGAAGTCGTAACTTTTAACACCCTCATCAAAACATTTATATATTGGCTGAAAGTGATATTCATTCATGCCAAGAACATATAACTAGCAATCAGTAAGTCCTTGTTAAATAAATGACAAAGTTTGAAAAATGCTAAGTATAATATTCTTGTTAAAAAGAAGTGTTGAAATTTAAGAATATTGGGAATGGAGCTTCTCATTAAAAAGGAACAAACTACTGGGCCTATGTTTTAACAATCAGAATGAGATATGCAAAAGGCAGGGACATTACCATTGTTTTTAGTGCTTACAAACTAGTAGGCATTCAGTATATATTAATTTTTGTAAATGGATGAAACTATTAACAATTGAAAGCTATGATCACTCACTACTCAATACCACTTAGTTCTCATATATTCAAAGAAAAGAAAAGCACCCACTGGTTGTTTATGTAAAAATACATGCATTGTTTAAAAACATTAATATTTCTGTGTTGCCTCCTGGATCTTCTCTTTTTATTTCTAGACCACCTGTTCAGAACATTGCTTACAGAAATATTTAAAAATGACACAAAGAATATCCATGAGATTTCAGGAATATCATATTCAGCAGAATGAAGCCCTGGCAGCCAAAGCAGGACTCCTTGGCCAACCACGATAGAGGAGTCCTGATGGCTGGACTTTAGATGAAACATTGCCAGCAGCTGTTGTGATGGAAATGAGGATTCATCTGATGGAATCCCCTGAAAGCAGTAGCCACCATGTTAAGCTGTCATGACTGACTGGCAAGTGGGAAACAACTAGAGAAACAAAATTGCTATTTACCACGAATAATCAAAATAGAAGGTCTTATTGTTCAATCAAAATAATAAGATGCAACATTTGTTGAGGCCTTAAGATTCAGCAGCTTGGTAACTTCATTAGATAAATAAACCTTTGTTTCTTCAATTGTGACTGTTAATTTTAAAAGCAAAATAATGTGTTCAATCATGTATGAGATAGAAAAAATTTTTTATTACTAAAAGTAAAATAAATGGAAATATCACTGAGCAGTTGTTTATACTATATATAGTACCATAGTATGCTGACTGGACTGTGGATACGTTGAAATGTTTTTCAATCACGATCATCCTCCAAGTATTCCTGTTCATTCATGTCTGTCTCAAATTGCTGGTAAATACATAAAATAGTTACTTGCTAATAATTTCAATGCACAATCCTTTTCTTGCGTCCCTTCTTGCATCAGGATGGGTATTACACATTCTTATCCTAGCCATATTTTCATATATCTTCAGGACACATCCCATCTGAGATTACCTTGGGAATGTTTAAGAGTTGACTATTATGCTCTAGTGAAGACTGTGTTTTGTGTTTTGTCCGAACGCTGAGAGTCTAACAATATACAGTGTATTCTCAGCTATGTCATGTGATCAATGCAATAAAAAGTGAACCGAAGTTATAGTAGTGTCTTAGAGCTAAAGGAATCCTAAAACAAATCCAAACATCTGCAGGAAAATTCTAGTTGATGCATAAGTATACCAAGCAGTTTGGAAAATGTACATAGACTAATACCTACTAATAAATGGACTTATGAATGGATTTCATTTGATACCAATCTAAACTTGCACTTAAGAGAGTACTAATTATAATTAGCCTATATGTTTACATTATCAAAGTGGTTTCTGTTTTGTCATATTATTTGAAGCCAGAAGTATTCTGCTTTGATAAACTAAGGTTTTCTGTATTACATCTAATTTTGAAGCTATTACATCATATAACTAACAATACCATTTATTTTACAGGCTTCTGTTGACATTGCAGTCACTAATTGTTGTGTCTTTGAAAGTACAAAAACAAAATATTAATGCTCTCTTTAATGTTGAAACATCTAGGAGACTCAGCAAAATAAACAATTCATTATAGTTAAAGAAACATGAAAGAATATGCTTGTTTCCCTCATCAGGCAAGAAAGCAACCAAAAATTCAGAGATTTTACTCATTTAAAACCCTGGGCCATCCACACACAAACTGCTATTTTTATGTAATCAAGCCTAACATGGTTAATTTAGCAAAGACAATTAAGTACGTGCTCACCTGGCAAGGGGAATTTTGTGCAACAGCATCTCAAATACCTTAGGAGGGAGTGTGTGTTTGAAAACCTTCAGAAGTTCCTCTGGTTGTCCACACACTAAAAGGGCATTGCTGAGATGTTCAACCCCCAATCGATGGTCTCCTAAAACAGATTGATAAGGTTTAAAGCAAAATTTTAACGTTCTTCAAAATATACCTTCCACAAATTACCAAGAAAACACCAAGTATTAAAATGCAAAAAGCATATCAAACTACAGACTATATAAACAAGCCTGCTTGGGATTCTCTTTCCCTTTCTTTCTCTCCCCTTCTCCCACTCTTTCTGATTCTCCCTGGTTCATGCTCTCTCAAAATAAACAAAAAGAGTAAAGACTATAAATGGGACAAATGCTGAGCTGTCAATTAGATTCACTGTGATCAGAGGGGCCTGGGTGGCTCAGTCGCTTTAGCATTGACTTTGACTCAGGTCATGATCTCACAGTTTGTGGGTTTGAGCCCTGCGTCAGGCTCTATGCTGACAGTTCAGAGACGAGTCTGCTTCGGATTTTGTGTCTCCTCTCTCCCTCCCCTGCTCACGCTCTCTCTCTCTCAAAAAAAATAAACATTTAAAAATTTTTGATTCACTGTGATCAAGCTGCAAGATGAATAGTCTTATGATCCAAATTACTATTAAAAAGTGCACTCTTGGGAGTGTCTGGGTGGCTCAGTTAAGCGGCTGACTTTGGCTGAAGTCATGATCTTCTGGTTCGCGAGTTGGAGCCCTGTGTCAGGCCCTGTGCTGACAGTGCACAGCCACGTTGGATTCCCTGTCCCCCTCTCTGCCTCTGCCCCGTTCACACTCACTCTCAAAAATAATATTTAAAAAAAAGTGCATTCTTACTTTGCATGTTCTGCAATGTGGGTTTGCGAGAAAGGGGTGTTGAGTATTTTTTAAATGTTGTGGTCTGCTGTTACTGATAGAAGATAGGTTATCTTTAACTCTACATGTGTGACTGATGAAATATAAATGAAACACCTGATGTTCTGGCTAAATAAGAATTCAAAAACAAATCCTATTATCAATGAGTTTAAAACAGGGTTTAGGGTAACATGAATTACATATATAGGGGAAGAAAAGAGATTTATGAACTTTGACTTCTAAGTAGTTTTAAAATGAGTTTTAGGGTGATTGGCTGTAAAGTAAGAATGAAAAGTTGTGTAATGTGGAAGTTAATCATAGAATTTTTTTTTAATGTTTGAGAGAGAGTGGGGGAGGGGGAGGGAGAGAGAGAATCCTAAGCAGGCTCTGAGTAGCGCCAAGCCTGATGCGGGGCTCAAACTCATGAATCGTGGGATCATGACCTGAGCTAAAATCAAGAGTCGGATGCTTAACCAACTAAGCCACCCAGGTGCCCCAATCATAGAATTTGTTTGAGTGAAAACATGGAAACACTTAGTCTCACTACTTCATTCTAAGAAACTGAGGCAAAGATCAGTGAAATGATTTAAAGTTTCAGAACTATTTAATGCCATAATTAGTAATAGAACCTAATTTTCTGAACCTTGAACACAGTGTGCTTGCCTCTCAGGTGTTTCATGATTTTCCATTTGTTGGTTGAAATACTTGGTCATCTGAAGATAAAAGTGCATGACAGAAAACAATGTTCCCAGATTTGTATGAAGTTTAAACTGAAAAAGCATCAGAAGAACATGACCTAACTCAGACTCACAAAGCAAACCTTGCCTATATTACATAGGTTTTAAGAGTTAAAGGTCTTGTGTCTAGACACCTAATTTTACGTTTTCAACCTAAGAAACTTCCATTGCTGGGTTTTAAGTAACTTTGTAGGCATTTAAAGAAGGTATTTCTTAGATGGAATACTGCACTAGTATTTCACTGAAAGGTTTATTTTTAAATTAATAAAATCACAGCTTTATAGACATGACACATTAAGTCAAAATACTTTGATCGTATTGAACCTTTTAAGGAAAAAGATATAATAGTGCCTCCTCTCAAATTGATAGAGCTAATGTGACACAAAATCAATTTGGTCAACTAAGTCAACCAACCAATAAATTCAATCAAATCAGCTAATCAGAAATTTCAATCAAAATTATTGGCTCTGTGGTCCTAGGTGGACACAACCATGATGAGGACTATACTACCTGACAGCGAAGGAACGAAAATTGGGGGTGGTGGCAGAAGAAAGTGGAGAAAATGGAAAAGATTACAGAAAACTAGGTGAAAAATCATATTAGAATGCTGGTCCTCAGTGTATTATAATAACCTAGGGACATTTTAAAAATATTGATGCCTGAGTCCCACCCCAGAAATTTTTATTTAATTGGTTTGGGGTTTGGTGGGATTTTAAGTAAGCAACCAAAATGAGAACTCCATTAGAAGTAAAATAGGGACATACATAACCCTTAAATAACTAACCAATTTAGGGATTTAACAGAAATACGTTATCCTTAAGAGGTAAAACTTTTAAAACATAAGTTTGCAATTTTTGTTTTAATCATCTCAATATTTGTAACATATTCACCTCTATGACATGAAGACTCTTAAACATAAAGTGAATAAAGATGTGTCATAAAGTAACTGTTTTTAATTTATAATTCCTACTTTTCTCTCCATATTTACACTATCCCAATTCAAAAAATGTTAAAACACAAAGATTCTATTTTAATTTCCCCCTATGTCCAAGCAGTATCCACATCTAGGAATTAATCCATATTTTGTGAGGCCCCTAGTTTATATATTTGGGGGGGGGGGCTTTTCTTTTAAAAGATTTTATTTTTTTAAGTAATCTCTACCCCCAATGTGGGGTCCAAACTCATGACCCCGAGATCAAGAGTCACATGCACTACTGAATGAGCAAGCTAGGTACCCCTGGGGGGCCCTTTTAAGACAAAGAATATAAAATTTTATTTTATTTTTTTAACGTTTATTTATTTTTGAGACAGAGAGAGACAGAGCATGAATGGTCAGAGAGGGTCAGAGAGAGAGGGAGACACGGAATCTGAAACAGGCTCCAGGCTCTGAGCCGTCAGCACAGAGCCCGACGCGGGGCTTAAACTCACCACAAGATCATGACTTGAGCCGAAGTCGGACACTTAACCGACTGAGCCACCCAGGCGCCCCAAGACAAAGAATGTAAAAAAGAAAAAAAGGAAATAAAAAGATTATAAAATTATGAATACAAAATTGGTAGGACTCCTCCCAGAATATTCAAAAAGCCCTGTGCAAATGAAGGTCCTTAAAACTTATGCTTTACTTCTTTGTATAAAACCATTCCTGTTTAGGGGCAGCTGGGTGGCTCAGTCAGTTAAGTGTCTGACTTTGGCTCAGATAATGATGATCTCACAGTTCATGGGTTCAAGCCCCACATCAGGCTCCGTGTTCACAGTGTGGAGCCTGCTTGGGATTCTCTCTCTGTCCCTCACCTGCTCACACTTTCTCTCTCTCAAAAATCAATGAATAAAAAAAAATTACTCCTGTTTCTATCATTTAAGTCAGTTCTAACTATTAATTTTGTCATTAATATTTAAGATATTTTTAGCCCACTTATAAAACTTCCTAAAAGAAAAGACTAATATTGAATATTAAAATTTCAAATTATAATGATTAATATGCAATAACTCTGAATATTTTTTTCATTTCTCAAAACCTTTATCATGGTTTTAAGCCACTGAATTAAAGTAAAAATCATGAGTATTGCTACCTGTTGTCCAGGATCCTAACTTTGTTTTCATAAATTCTGGAGGATGCTACCTCTTAACTGCAGGTAAAAAACAAAATTTTTTCAAAAAAGACAATCAAAAGAGCCAAAATAGGTACAGGCACTATGATGAGAGGAAATTTGCAAAACTTGAAAGATACATAAATGGGTATAATGCTCATTTATCCAGCAACATCATTCATCCCTTACATAAGAAGCCTAAAAGCAAATTACTTTCCTTCCCAGGGTTTAGCACCAGAACAAAGACATGATTACTATACACAATATTTATAAAATACTTACATCATCTACCATCATTTTACCTGACAATATTGTGAAGTCTTCTTAAATCTATGTGGAAATAGGTTGGGATAAATTATAATTCAAAATACAGTTCATGGCCATTATAGCCCCTACATACATCACTATATTAAACATACAAAAATGGTCATTTATAATGATTTATCCTCAGTTGGGTATCTGACTTCAGCTCAGGTCACGATCTCATGGTCCGTGGGTCTGAGCCCCACATCAGGCTCTGTGCCGACAGCTCAGAGCCTGGGGCCCGCTTTGGATTCTGTGTCTCCCTCTCTCCCTGCCCCTCCCCACTCAAGCTCTGTCTCTCTCCATCTCTCAAAAATGAATAAACATTAAAAAAAATTT